GGATATGTCATAACCATTAAGGTACACGATCCCAAATCACAAGCCGATCGTGAGTGGTATCTCCCGCATCAACCGGTGTTGAACCCGAATAAACCCGGTAAGGTGCGCCGAGTCCTCAATGGGGCATCGAAGTGTCATGGTGCTTCCTTGAATAAATCTCTGTTGGTTGGCCCGGATCTCCTTCAAAACCTCATTATTGTACATTTAAGGTTCCGTCAGCATAAATACGCAGTTTCAGCTGACATTGAAGGGATGTTTTTACAGGTTGGAGTCCTCGAAGAAGATCAACTTTCTCTTCGTTTTTTGTGGCGGGAGGACCCCACATCAAGTGTGGTAGTTCACCAATATACGCGTCACTTTTTTGGTGCTCGTGACTCGCCGACTTGTGCGAATTTTGCTTTGCAGAAGACTTCATCGGATAATCAAGCTGAGTACCCCGAAGCTGCTTCGGCTGTTGTACAGAAATTTTATATGGATGATTATCTGGATTCTTTTCAAAACAGGGATGACGCCTTGAATTTAGGTAGGGATTTAATCTCGTTGCTTAAACTAGGTGGCTTTCGTCTGACAAAATTTGTCAGCAACGTGCCCGACGTAACAACAGCTCTTGATCAGGACAACCGTGAGTCCAATTCCTCTGTTAAAGATATTTGTGCGAGTCCAGACCAGTCGTCGCATGTTCTCGGTCTTAAGTGGGATCTCGTAAAAGATACCTTAGTCGTTAGTAGAGGGGTTGATTGTCCACTAGACAAAACAATCACTCAGCGTACCGTGTTGAGTTTTGTTTCCTCTGTTTTTGATCCAATTGGGTTAGTGGCTCCGTATACCGTGAAAGCTCGCCTTCTATTAAAAAATATCTGGCGAATCAGCGGTCAAAAATGGAACGATGATCTGCCAGAGGAAATCAAGAAGCAGTTCCTGGAGTGGCACTCAGCTCTTCATTTGTTAGATTCTCTGACAATACCTCGCAGCTATTTCAGTGAACCTTTCGATCGAATAGAACTACAAATGTTCGGTGATAGTTCGCAGGATGTTTTCTGTGCCGTCGCTTTCCTTCGTGCGCGACTTGCTAGCTCGCATCAGATCGAATTAGCCTTTGTGTTTGGCAAAGCCCGCGTCGCGCCTATGAAAGCGCTTTCTATTCCAACGTTAGAGCATCAAGCGGCTCTTCTTGCAACCCGCTTAAAAGAAGAAATTTTGAAAGGTCTTACTTTCAAAGTTACGGATATTTTCATATTGACAGATAGTACCACTGTTCTTCAGTGGCTTCACTCTTGTAGTAAACTACCCGTTTTTGTTGGTAATCGCACTGGTGAGATTCTGAAGTCTACCACCACTGATCAGTGGCATCACATACTTAGCGGTGATAACCCAGCTGATACAGGTACACGAGGGATTTCTTCGGAAGCCCTCAAGGAAAGCAGCTGGGTTAATGGCCCTAGTATACTGAGAACGACGACTGATTGGTCGTTCAAGCCTGATACAAGGGTTATTGATAAAATAAGACTCAAAGGACTATCATGTGATATCGACATTTGTCTGGAAAATTCGTCAAATTTCGTCGTCGATGTTTTGACAGAGAAAAATCTTCCAATCGAAAAATGGAAGAGATTCAATTCAATTGTAAAATACAAACGCACAGTAGCATTTTTAGCAAGATGGCTGCCATCCCATAAACATTTCCGGTTGAGTATACTAGAAATTACAGACCCGTGTGAAATGGATATTGCTGAACAGAAGCTCATTTACCTGTCCCAGGGTGAAACATTTCCTAGTGAGCTAAAACTACTAAAATCCGGTAAAGTTATCACGAAGAATAGTCGGATCGCCAAGTATTCGCCGTTCATTGGACCAGCTGGCATCCTTCGCTCGACTGGGCGCATCAGCCGCTTGGTTATTTCCGTTTTCGATAGCAAGCATCCGATTATGCTTGATGCACGTCACGCGGTTGTTCGGTTATTGGTTAAACACTTGCACGTTAGGAATTTCCATCAAGGCTTGGATTACATGCGTGCGGTGGATAATTTGAAATACTTTGGGTTAAATTTGCGATGGTTGCTGCGAAACATTGAAAATACTTGCGTTGTGTGCCGAAAACGCAAAGCGCAAACCGTAACTCATATGATGGCTGATCTGATGTTGAAAAGGCTGGGTTACAAGCAACCTCCTTTCTCTAACACAGGTGTCGACTACTTTGGGCCGTTCCTAGTTAAAATTCGGAGAAGTAAGGAAAAGAGGTGGGGTTTTTTGTTGACCTGTCTCACCACTACAGCGGTGCATATTGAAGTGGTCCCCTCGCTCGACACAAGCTCTTGTGTGATGGGCGTAGAGAAGTTTAATGCACGTCGCGGTACTCCGACTACCATCATGTCCGACAACGGCACGAACTTTGTTGGCGCTCAAGAAGAGCTCTTAGCTTGCGTTGAGAGTTGGAACAAGCTCGCACCCGCTGTTTGTGTTCAGAAAGGGATCAAGTGGAAATTCAATCCACCCAACGCACCGCACCATGGTGGCTCCTGGGAGCGATTAGTTCCGAGTGTTAAGCGCGTCTTGTATGACATCCTAGGCAACAGAAGAGTAACTGAGGAGGTTCTAAGAACCACGCTGTGCCTTGTTGAGCAATCACTTAACGCTAGACCGATAACAGCCGTTAGTTCCGATCCGCTAGATCTAGAGGCGTTGAACCCGAATCATTTTATCCTTGGTCAACACGCAGCGAGTTTTCCGTTGCTAAGTTTCGAAGAAAACTTCGACCATAAGAAGCGTTTCGCCAGAGCGCAATCATACGCTAACGCAATATGGACACGGTGGATGCGGGAATACGTTCCTTCCCTCAATAGGAGGGCAAAGTGGCACAACCAGTCAGGCGTTAAGCTGAAAGCCGGCGACTTGGTTTGGGTCATAGAGCCTGACACTCCACGTGGACATTATCCACTCGCACGTGTCCTAAGACTGCACTATGGCAAGGACGGATGCGCGAGATCCGCCGACATAAAGACCGTTACGAGCGAACTGACCCGCCCGACCGTAAAGCTCGCTCCCGTTCTTTCTTGTTTAGGGGTGGAGGATGTTGCCGCGCAAATGTAAGCGAGAGTACAAATGCATATAAATATAAATGCATATAAAATAAGCACAGTTGGCCGAGTGGCTTAAGCTACAATAACGCCCACTATATAGACTCGACAGTTGACGTAGGTTCAAGTCCCCACCTGCCCATGTATTAATATACTAAAAAAGGGGGTTATATCCTATTTTAACTGTTTTTGTCATTCCAATTCGGTTTAGCCTTGATTAAGGCTGACCGCTAAAAAAGAGCAATTTGTCTCAAGGACATTACCGACCGGTTCTTGTGGCTTGCTTGCGCCAATTTGTTATTAAAGCTGTGAATTGGTGACGAATATTATGGAAGTTATGATGTTATACCCGACCGAAAGGACGAGAAGTTTTTGCCGATAAATTCTCTCGTTAAATTCAAGCATTCGAATTCCTATTTTTGATTTACGGAGATTAGGCGCACACTCGCAGGTAAGAGTTGGTTCGCGACTCTGATTACTTTTTGAAATGCTGATGTTCCGACTACACTTTCTAATATCTCAAAGTTTTTCCAGATTATAGTTTTTGATAAAGAAATAACCAAGTGTTCTCAAATATGTCTAAAAAATTCAAAAATTCTTATCTTTTCTGTAAATCTTACCCCCACATGCCACAACACATAAAACTGATATTAATCTCATCCAATCACTCGTTTTTCTATCTGGTTCGAATTTTGGGCCGGAATAAATGACGATTACACGCTACGCTTCAAAAAAAATTGGTTAAAAAGCGCACAAAATGGCAATTATCTAATCCCGCAAAATGAACACTGTTCGTGGAACATCTTTTTCATTTTTGAGCTTAGGCATCAAAATTTAAATTCTCAGACAAAAAATAACTTCCGTCCCAAATAGCTGTTTGAAAAATCAAACACATTTTATGAGAAATACTCAGCCCGAGTTCAATTGTTCCGGCAGCTTCGAAAGTAAAAAAAATCAAATCAACATAAATATTATCTTTTAACACGGTTAAAATTTTAGGTTTGATCATAGGAATAAATTAAAACCATACCGTTCTGAAATAGAAGAATAGTAGTACTCAAATTGCCATTCGGGTTTCACCGTGTTTTAAATTTTTTTTAGTTGTTCTTTTTCTTTTCCACGCAACATCAGATAACACAAACTAAAACCATTGTAGTCCTGATGGCAACCCTATTTAAATGTCCGAAAAAATCCTCAGTGTAGAAAAAACTGTTTAAAAGTTTGGGTTTTTGTTCTTACTTCGAGCGAATAAAGCCAGCGAGTATGCTTTTGATGCGGAATTAAGACCTAAAAACATAGTTTAAATCCACAAGAATTAGTTGCTTTTGAAAACATTTTTGCGTTTTCTTGAAAGCAAAAATGCCAAAAATTCAAAACTTTGATCAATTTTTCGATGAAAGCTTATCAAACATGCGTATTGCACTATTACTAATGAAAACACTTACTTTCTAGGCTTTTGTTCAAAACTGCTTATAACCGAGCGAGCTAAAATTTATGGTCTAAACTTTCTGTGCTACTTGTACAGCAACCGGCTATCTTTGTTGAGTTCGTTTTGTGTTTAATCTAGCTGTAAATTTATTTGGACAATTAATACACGCTAATTTAAAAATGTGTACAAAAATTCTGAAAGATGTAGACATTTCGACCTTTTTCAAAACCCATGATAACACGCCCTGATTCTAATTCCAGTGATTAAAAAACGAACTTGAAACAGAATTTCTGCAACAATTTAGATTTACGCCGACTGTAAATAAACATCTTCAGAAAAGAATGAAACTCTGGATCATCTAAAATAAAAACAGCGGACTTCGTTCAGATAGTATCTTTATCCGGACTTCGCGCGTAATATTACAGACAACGGCATGAAAAAATCATTGGCTGGTCAATCTATGACACTTTTTCTCATAACTTCGATTACTTTCCAAATCACTCTACTTCAACAATAATCTTAAATTTCTGATTAAATATCACGTTCAATCTAACTAAAGATACAACATAACTTACTAAAACACGCCCACAAAAAAATTGACAATACAAACATAATTCAGCAGTTGCTGTTTGAGATCGAAGAATCTTCACGCTGTTCTTTTTCACATGACTCTCTCAATTCTGATTGGTCACAATTACTTGTGACAGAAAAGTCTGCAAAATTTGACACATCTGTATTTTCGGCTAAGTTCACATATTCGTTTCTACTTCCAATGAAATTACTATTTGGAGTTGCTTCCGAATAATTTGTGAAGTTGCAACTTTTGTTTTCTTCGGGCAAACCTGACATTTCAAAGCTTGAAGCTCTTCTTTGTAGTTTTGAGTTTGATCGAGAAAATGAGTTTGACCTTGAGTGAAAGTTTGAAGTGCTGCTTGCTCCTAGAGCATGTAAAGCTATTTCATCGTTAAGTCGGCTCGAAATTTCGAAGGCGGTCTCGTTCGTGAGTTGGTTTCGGCAGTTAGGATCCGCTCCACGTCGCAGCATCAGTGCAATTGACTTGTGGTTCCCGTTTGTGCACGCTACATGCAAAGCGTAGTTTCCGTGCACATCTGGTTGTGAGAAATCAGCACCCGCCTCTGCATAGGCCTCCAGTAACTGAAACAAAAAAAATCATTTCATCAAGTCACATTTCATTGAATATTAATTTGCAAAGATTGAAGATTCAAAACATAGTTGTCAACAGACAGTTGGCAAAGTGTAAATGAACTCAAGGGCATCGGAAAAAACATTGACTGAATTTTTTGTCAAGTAATTTTCAACTTCCAAGAAAACACATCAACAAAACTTCAACATGAAGCTCAGGAGTCCAGTATAATTGTAAATTTTGCGGTATCCGAGACTTTGTAATCGAAGAGAAAAATAAGAGAAGCCAAATCGGTTTTTCCTTTCAGTAACTAAAAACATTAAGATATATTTCTGAAACAACTTGTTCGAATTCCGAGTTTGCATGTGATTTATAACAAAAAAACAAGAACTAGAGCAAAGAGGCCACTAAATAACACCGCAAGGTCGGTTCATTTTGTTCGACCATCGAATCCAGATAAATTTTCATTGAAATCTTCAAAACATAGCCGACTGACCTTTGAAAAAGGTTAACGAACTCAGAGAAACTCAAATAAGGTCGAGAACTTTTCAACGTTTGAATTGCCGATAAAATATATCACGTTAATTCTCGCTGATTTTCAATGAACTTTTATCATCGACAATTCTTTCATAAAACAAGCCCAATTAGAGAAAAATGGGCTCTTTTTTATTTTTACCCCCACATTGGACGAGAGCGAAAAAAATGGATAAACCGGTATTTTTTTCAATTCCCTGAAAATTTGAAGTATTAAAGTCCATTTTTGAAAATGAAAGTATTTCAGATTTTTTTCCAGAAAAAAAAAACAAAAACGATAAGTCGACACTATCTAAATAAGTGATATATCACTTCGTTCATTAAAAATTTGAAAAGTCATAATTCAAAAAAATTTGAGGAACTGTAGACAAAAAAATTATCACAGAGGCGAGGCTGCGCTTCGCAAACACTAGCCAGAACACGGCAAAAAGTACATCTAGAGTTTCAAAAAGTGCAATAAGAAAAAGTAAAACTAAGCCTCGAATTAGTAAAAATTCGGCGACATCTCGGATTCAATCCTACGACCTACTGCGACCAAGATGATTTGCGTCTCACGCACTAACCACTCAGCCCGGATGCTTAGTTCATAACAATATTATTTGACATACAGTTTGAGATTAACTAGATTTATTGACCTGATAGTTGTCTGTATGTCACCTATTTTGCCCACAATTTGAGATTAACTAGATTTATTGACCTGTATGTCGTCGTAATAAGCGGCCATGCTGATACCATTTGCCACTTTAGTGCTCTCCGTGTATGGAAAGTGTGCCCCAGCCTGCACCAGTATGGCCACTATGGCCACACTCTTGCTCTTCACAGCACAAGTCAGGGGAGTGTCTCCATGCATGTCCTTTAGATGCACACTCGCTCCATTCTCCACCAGGTAGCGCGCACAGGCTGAAAAAATACCGATATCATCACAAGATAACTACCAGCCAAGCTCACTGGTTATTTAACAACCAAGGTCACTGGTTATTAAAAAACCAAGGTCACTGGTTATTAAATAACCAAGGTCACTGGTTAGTTAATACTAACAAAGTACATCGGTTGTTTTAAGATAGCAAACGCAGAGTAGGATAAGTATGAACGAACGCAAGGAAAATAAAAGACTGGCTTGTTTTTAAAGCCAGCATTTCGAATAAAACGCTATTTGAATTTAAAGAAGCTTCCATGATTGACATTTTTCGTTAAAATAAACCTAAGTCGAGAAATCTGCATCGATATGTAAACTTTTATTTCAATGACAAATCTAAAAATTAAAATCCATTTTCCAAACTAGAAATTCATATTTTTTTCGCCCCCTTTCCGCGTTTTTAATCGGAGACCGTTATTTTCCTTTTTTTGAGTTTAAATAAAAAATCAACACGACCCGTATAAAAAAGTGTTTTCACAACCTTCGTTGACAATTAATAACCAAGGTAAAATCAGTTATTTTAAAACCCCTTTTTGGAGATGGATGCCTTCTGTGACAGAAACAAATTCGAGCCAACAGACGAATGCAGCAGCCATCACTCGTTTGTTAGTTAGGACGATTTATCCCCAAGGGAAAGGACCAGCATACGAGCTGTTCAGCTTTTCGCCGAGAATCGCCGTTGTGCCCCTGCTTAAAAACTACATACAATTTTTTTGGTGAATTTTTTTGAGTGGGTTATGTTGTCTCAACCTAACGCAATGTACCCGGATCATGGTGGGCTTCGAACATCCGCCCTTTCGATTGAGAGGCGGAGACGTAACCACTGCACCAACTCTCCCCTCTTCCTCCTAGCCTCATTAAAAACCATGTTGACTGATTTCTTGTATGCAAACGCATTTTGCAGTTTAACAAAATTATATATCCCAGCTGATTTGAACCAATGCTTAAAAAGTTAAAATATCGTAGAAAAATCTGACATTATTTGCAGGCTACAAAGGACCAACAAGGTGAACAAAAAATATATTTTTTTTTGTTAAAACAAAGCTAAGCCTGTTAGAATAATTTTTTGTTCAAACATCTATTTCGAAACTTATGGGCGGCGCATTGTTAGTTATTTTTCAGCCAAATAAATTTCGACTACACATCATAAATTCGCTCGGAAATTTTCTTGAAAATTCAACCCTCCAGATAAATTTAGATAAACTTCTAATCTATCATTTAGACTATAAATGACAACTTAACAAAATCAGATTAGAAAATGAAACGGCAACATTTGTTCAAAATATTGATTCGACCCTTTTTTTATCTCTTATTTCTCTACTTATCAAGCCTACCTTCGTTACCAGCCGAACATGCAACATGCAGCGGGGTTCTTCTGTCATAATCAGCACAAGAGATACTCCTCTTGCCCTCACTGCTCGACAACAGAGTACTCAAAGTCTTGCCTTCGTCTTCATTTGCAGCCGCAGCACACAGTAGACTCGGCATGATTGCATTGTTCAGTTCGATTAACTCAGGTGCCGAGGTCAACTGCAGGGCATTTGCCAGTTTGTTCAGAAAACCCTGTAACCAGAAAAAAAATAATTTTACGATTGTTAAAACTTTATTGGCTAATAAAATCAATTGATGGTCAATTCAGCAACGGCAGATTCGAATCTTTCGAAAGAGGTGCGGATTTTCAAACTTTCGTCTGCTTTTTTAGATCAATGAACACGATAATTTCCCGAAATTTCCTTTTTTTAGGTCTATGAAAACGGTTATTTCCCAAAATATCCACTTTTTAGGTCAATGAAAACCAAAATTTTCTGTGTCGCTTTTGGAATTTGGACAAGGTTTTGACAATAAATCGTGTTTTTTGGCGCACACTTCCAAAGCTAGTATGTATTGACGCCTTTAGAGAACAAAATTTTCAAGGTCCGTCATCCTAAAATTGATGTCGCAAAATAGTAGCAAAGGGCGAACCTTCGAGTAGTGAGCCCAACCCCCCCCCCCCCCCCCCCCCCAGTAAATCCGCTACTGGGTCCGTTACCGAAGATCCTTGACATGAAAGTGTTCGAAGGTTTTAGCTTTTACTTCAAAATCAGTCGTATTCATGTAAACGTAATGGCCGTATCACTTAAGATATTGCTTTTTTTCATCGATTACTGCTAACTATTCGAATAACTTTAGAACCACAGAGACCTGTGTTAACTTATCATGTTCGTTGAACACTTCGAAAAGGTTTATTACCAAATAAGTCTCGACAAGTTGAACGCATTTTTACGTCATTCATTAGACAATTTTACGTCAATTGACATATGGTATAAACATCAAGATAAGAAGACTAGAGTAACTTAACGCTCCGCCTAATTTGTTTTAAAAGTCAAATAATCGAATAGTACTTTTGTTGTCAAGGTGTATCTAAAGCTACATACTACACAGTCCCTTTAATTTTCTTCTTCGAGTATGATATATAATATGAATTAAAACAGCAAAACATCGAAAACAAAATTTTGCAGCAAGTGTGATTCAAGACTGCTCGTATCAATGCAAAGCCCTAAATGTTCCGACTGCCTCTTTAAATCTAGGAAATTTAAAAAATGATAAAAATTTAAAAAAAAAAAGAAATTGCTTTTTTTGAACTTTTTTAAAATATATTCTGCCACGCCTTAAGTTGAGATCAAAATTATGTAAGTCGCGTCCAGCAACGTGCTAATAGTTCTAAATAGTTTGCTTCAAATTAAATAGGAACGATTTATGAGCAGGATTGGATTCAATAACTACTTACGCTTAAATTGAACGAATTATATCCTGCATTAATTGTCGTAAACTAGACAAACTGGTCACTCTGAAACCACAAAAACTTTACAAAAATATCACAAGCAAAAAACTTTTTAAAAAAGAGCTAGGATATCGATAACTTTCAGAGGGTATAGAAAAAAGGCTAGTTAAAAGTAGAAATTTGTCTGAAGAAAAAAGACACCATGCCCATGCACAAATAATCCATCCTTTATCGAAAGTAGGAAGAACAACAAAAATTCTCATATTAGGGCGAAGCCTTGAATTTTCCGCTGCTTTTAAAAGGGGGCGTTATACAGGGGTCTAGGACAACAAGCCGACGGGACTTCAAGCCGAAGAGACTTCAGGCCGAAAATTAAACTTTACAAGCACCTCAAATCATTATTTTTTCATCTGTAAAACGTTTCTTTTCAAAATCATAGGCTAGTTCAGTCCGTAATAAGCGTTATTTATGACAATGCACTACTTTGGATTGGCATTAGATAATAATATCAGCCGTTTTTTGAAATGCATAAATTATAAACAAGAAAATTACCTCCAACCGTGTTTAATTTTTCAACTTTCCTAAACTTCATTTGGAGGTTTAAATTTCGTGAAAACGCTACTAATTACCGATTGAAGATAATGAAATTGAGAAATTCTGTAAAAAAAGTTTTCAAAATAACCTGATTTCATGACTTAATGAGAAAATTTTCGGCTTGAAGTCCCTAATTTAACGATTCGGCTTGAAGTCCCGTCGGCTTGATGTCCGGCACCCGTTAGACAGTGCCGAAGTTAGAGAGTGCCGAAAAAGGCGGGAAATATTGGAACGCAATTTAAGAGGCTAGCTTTTGGCGGGAAAATTAATAATGACACTTGAAACTTGTTCAGACTCAATTTTGGCGCCAAAATCGATGAGCAAACAAAACTTTCTTTTTTTTTCTCAATTAGTTCACGACAAATAAACTTGTTCAGACTCAATTTTGGCGCCAAAATCGATGAGCAAACAAAACTTTCTTTTCTTTTCTCAATTAGTTCACGACAAATAAGTCAGTTTCTGCACTCTTTAACAAATTTTCGGCCCTCTTTAACAAATTTTTGTTTTCGGCACTCTCTTACTTCGGCACTGTCTTACCCAACCTTTTAAAAGCCTGTCTAGCGATAGCTTTTGAAAAGAAGTTGAAACTTTCAATTGAAAATTTCAGAAAATACATATTTCGCATACAGCAAAGAATTAAATAAGCCAAATAGAATGCATCAATTCAATTTGGAAGAATTTCTAAGCAGGATTAAACCGCCGCTTACGCGTTAACGTTAGTAGCACAAAAATATCGGGCTTACATTGCCCCAATTGGCAACTTAACGAAAACTGATCACAGGTGAAATATCATTTAAGTTTGAGCTTAAGACAACAATAGCTTGCAGACGGTAAAGGCAAATTTTTGCCATTAATAGCTAGTTAAAAATCGCAACTGGTCTGAATAAAAAACCAATCCGAGCACAGATATTCCCAAGTCAGAACAATGAGATCTGTGCCACCTTAAACTTTAGACTTGATAGTTTAGATATTTTATTTTCTTGGGCTGATTCGCGTCGCAACAAAATAAAACTTTGAAATGGATGCTTTTGTAGATTCGGGCTCATCATTCGACTTTAGTTTGACATGATTCGACACTCTGTTTGACAGAAGACTTTGTGCGACGTCGCAGGGAGCGTCAAAAACGTGACATCGTTCGGTTAAAGCAGACGTCGAGCTCCTCCGACCGGGAAGTTCCGTGGAAGATGATTTAGAGTTGATATAATTGCACAAGTGGTACATGTTCAAAAACAAGAGAATGTACTCTTTGTTATAAATAAACCATTGTATCAAAAATGTTATTGGAATAAAGAAGAAATAACCAGCAGACAGTTGAAAAAGTGTCAATTAACACAAGGAAACCGGAAAAAATTATTTCAAAAACTAGATCATTAGGTTCTCTTTTTTCCGCTGGGAAATCTAAAAATTAAAATCCTTTTTCGAAAATAAAGTCTTCTTTAAAAGTCTTTTTTTTTGCTGTTCGAGGCCATTCAATTTTTCCTGTTCGATCGAGGAGTAAGCCTTCACAAAGGACAATATATGACAATATTTGTCTTAAAAATGACAAATACGCTTTATAAAAAAATCCACCTTCTAATTAGGAAAACGATCATTCAAAACAAAAGTTACGTTTATATTCCTTTCTGTTCGAATTTTTCAATAGAAAAATCCAATCAGAATAAAAAAGAAGCAGGGCTTTTAAAATGTTTTTTTTTCTCTCAAAATAAAGCTTAATTTTAAATTTATTAAATAAAAGAGTTAAGCTTCGCTTATTAAACAGTCTGCCAATGTAAGTTAATGAAAAAATGTCAATTGGTTAGGGAAAGAAATAAATCAAACCCGATAACTTACCGGGACCAGTTTCAATTAATTATATGTTTAATTGTAATGTTAAAGTTGTTAGGCTTGTTATACTCACCTTCACTTTAGAGGCGCAGTTCTCGGCTATCAGCCGAACCAAAGGGGGCGGTTGCTGCTGCAAAGTGCAAACCAATCCAGTTGTTAATACATCATACGACACAAAAGCATACCAGAACTTGACTAGTACCAAAATATTACAAAAAAGATAAGTATGGAAAATATTTCTGTGAGTTATGCGATAGATTATTTAAAGCGAGAGTAAAAAAAACTACACAGTTAAGTAAATTTTTGCAAATTTCAAAATTTTGAGAAAAAAAACTAAATTACCTCATAGCCTTAGCTTCAACTTGAGGAAACTTTTCTGATTATTATATTTTTGGTGAGACGTACCCAATCCGATAATTTATGACAAAACCCATTTTGTGGGCCATTTTCGTTCTCAGATACTAGATTTTTGATACGGGTAACATTTTATAACATCACACAACAAAAAAACGGTGTGGACTTCGATATGAAACGCTATAGAGGTAGTAGTAATAATAATGGGACACACTTTATACAAAGGGTGTAAAACAGTCTGCAAATTTTAGATTCGGCTAATAAGGTCTTTCTTCTATTGGACCATTCTGCTCAGTGCAAAACTTCTTAACAGAACATAAAAAAACTGCCACCAAGGCGTAATAAAATATAAGAAGTTTTTGTGCTGACTTTTTTGAAGAAAATAACAGAATATTTATGATTGGGTGTGTTCATTTTCCAGACAAATATCGCAATTTCAACTAGCAAACTTTGACGGAATTTTAATAAAATATCGCAATTTCAACAGAACGTAAATTTTAAACAAATATCGCTAACAGAATGTGAAAAGTTTTGACGGAATTTGAATAAAAAGATGCGCAAAATTTCTCATGTGTTTGACCTGAATGCATATATTTTGAAAAAAAAACATCTGAATATATGTTAATGAACGCAAGGAAAAAGAAAAAAATGCCGACTTGTTTTTTTTAAAACTTCAAAATAAAATAAGGCCTGTTTGAATTTCAAGAAAAATTTAAGATTGAGTTGTTTTGCTGAAAATAACTTAATTTGAGAATAATGGATCAATGAGCCTAGTTTTTTTTGCTATGAAAATCAGAAATGAAATCCACTTTCGAAACTAGAAGTCGCTCACATTTTTGCACCTTTTTCACTTTCGTACTTGGAAAGAGCAATTCACCTAATTTTTAGCAAGAATTTTAATTGAAATTCAAAAGTGCATTTACACCTAAGTGCAGCCATAAACTCAATAATATGTATGAATGCATATCTGTAGTTGTTCGACCATTTTAGGATTTTTTTCTAAAAAAAAACAATGCCAATTGACATTTGGAAAAGAGTGATGAACGCAAGGAAACCGAAAAAAAAGACTTTTTTTAAAAAAAACCTTCAACTTGCAAATTTGAAAGAAACAGAATATGCCCTTAAAGCTCTTTGAATTTCATGGACAATTTATGATTGACCATTATGTGATAAAATTAACCCAATTTGAGAAAACTGGCTCAATAGATAAATTTTTATTACATGTAACCTGATGATTAAATTCCATTGTCGAAATAAGAAGTTGATCACGTTTTTGGTGGCCTTTAAATTTCAGCTTTTCGATAGTGGAGTTTGCCTTCCTTTTAGCAAAGAAAATAAAGTGCAGATAAAAAAATCAAAAGTCAAACTGCAAGAAATCAAACTTGAGCGTGAACACATTACGAGGCCAAACTATGTATTTTGTGAATTGTACGCGGATTCCGCAGCAAAGACACTCTTTTTGTTCTTTTGTTTTCTTTGATCGGTCCTAAAAATTTTTAACATTTTCAAAGACTTGTCTATGGATTGCAGAGACCTATACACACCAAATTGTGCGTGCGCCTGAAAAAAAAACTACACAAAATCACCTACTAAAACAAGAGTATTCACTACGTTCATTACTAATAATGAAATCCCCTACAGTCCAACTATTGATGAGCGTGACACAACTGACGCAGAGGCGGATCTAGGATTTTCTCGAGGGGGTGGGCGGATTTTCAAAAAATTTTCCAAAATTTTGACGACCTTTTTTTTTTTTTTAGGTCGACCAAATTGATTTTCCCATAAATCCGCCCTTGAACTGACGACAGTGATGCATTGTTTTAAACTATTTAAACTGCTTACTTTAATACTTTAATATTATTCTCTTGTTAATTGTATCTAAGATCCGTACAAGGTGATATATTACAATAGATGGCAGGCTCAAGTTGTTAATGACTGTAATAATTAATAATAGGTGGCTGGTTCAATAACATAGGTGGCAGGGGGGAGGATGTTAACTTGATCCGAGCCTACGAATGCGTGTAAGTTGGTTGCAACATCCACATACCTTGTTACGCAGTGAAATTTCTCCCCTAGCAACATTCTCCACACTCAACTCTCCCCTCAGATTCTGCCTCATCAACTCCCTCTTTTCCTCAATGGACAGGTCATCTTTAGCCAGTACATAGCCCAGCTTAGTCAGAGCTGCTTCCGGGGTCATGTCTCCCCCAAGCACCACCCCACTACTCTTCAGCGCCACGCCAGATGCATAGCCTGCATAAAATAAAATATGCATAAAAAATAATTGTTGCATGTTTCGCGCCTCGTCAAATATTTCACCCCGTGTCAGGACATTTGTGTCCCAGACATTTATGTCGCGGCAAAAACAGTCCAAAATGCAAAAAGTTCTTTGTGTGTGAGAGATAATAAAATGGGAATCTGTGAGGGGCGAAATATTAGAGAAGACTACATAACACAAAAATCTAAATAAAAATACTTTTATTTGGGTTGATTTGGATGATTTTGGCCGAAAAATTGCAACTTTGGGGTGCGAATAGAACTAATTTTTAGCGCCAGGTTGCCGATAAAAAAATTTCCGGGTAATTCGTCGGCAAAAAATGGAAATCGTTAAATTATACCAAAAAAGTATCAGTATAATAGCAGCAGCTTTCTTAACTTGAAAAATCGGTTTTTGTTATTGAACATCCTCAACTTTGGTTGAATTGAATTGATCGATCAAGTCGCCACGCAATTCGCCTTCACTTACCTTTGATCCAGTTTTCTCAAAGTTTCAAATTTCACTCACCACGGCATATACATTAACATGACTGCCATTTTTTACGTTCAAAACCTCTTTCGGACGTTGAAACCATTTCATACATTCATCTTTAAAACTAGCAGAGTAGACATTTTCGGTAACAAAATAAATATGGACGAATATCTATTTATTTATTCAACTTAATACAATTTAATTTTACGCTTCGTTATCTTTTTTTTACCTGGGGACACCCCACCCTTGTAGCACTGAGTGCAGTTTATGATCAACACCCCCTCGTCAGACGCCTTCTTGAACGCCCTCAGAATATCCTCCCTCGCATCTGGTCCATTCCCACTTCCGAATGTCTGCAACACCACCCCCCGCACGGGGGGACGGAGGAAGTTGGAGATGAGTTCGACTGTCATGCCTGGGTAGAAACGCAACATGGTCACGTTAGGCTCCATCTTGTCCTGGATGGAAAACTCCTCTGCAGAACAAATAGAATTCATAGGTTTCACAATTTACAAATTTTGAAGGGAACACGCGACACAAAAAACGCAACTATTTGAACAAAACTTTCTTAAAAATTCCCAAAAACCGTATTTTTGCTCCGTTTTTTCATCTTTAACTGTTTCTGAACTGAACATGTTGGCTCAGAAAATAAACAACAAATTAAAAAACATTCAACATTTAAGTTTCTCGGCCTTTTCGGATGGAGGGAACGGATTGACATAAAGCATTAGGAATTAGGCAATAATAGTTTAAGTATTTGTAAAAAAAAACTTCGGAATCACGACTGAAACTGTTTTATTATGATACAACACTTGAACCCCTATTAATGTTTTTTGAATACCTAAAATCGCGCGAAAAAAAACAGCCTTTGCCTTCTTCCCACTCTTTGAACAATATCTTGGCTAACAATTACTTAACTACTGTCGCAGCAAAAAATTAACTTGCCAATAAATTAAATTAACCAAATAGAGTAAAAAAATAAGATAGCCATTAGTTACAAGATAATGAAAAATATAACTAGATGAAACATATAACGAGATAAAAACATGTCTAGATTACGGGAAATTAAAATGGCAAGGGTATGATTCTACGGATACTTACTGAGTTCCGGGTCCCTGTAGATGATGTCCCAGCGGATGTTCACATACATGTCTATGTCTGCCAATGGTTGCATATTTGGAGAGTGAAACGCATGGTAAGAAGAACAGTCCACCTTCGACACACGGTTCCCCCTAAACGGAATTACTTTCTGGGCTGTTAAAAATGACTTCTAGCCTTTCTTAAACGCGTTTCGTTAATTGCACAACTTTAAAAATTCATTTTTGAAAAAAAAATTTGAAAAAATCATTTTTTTTAATACTCAAACAAGCAAAATGATCACCACCACTTTCTCACCAAAAAACAAGCCAAAAATCAAAAGAAAGAAATGCTTTAATTATCAGCAGCCAATTGACAAAAGCTGCAAGAGAAGAAAACGTATAAATTGTTTTGTTTCTCTCACCTGTAGAGAGTGTTTTTGAAGAAGAGCGACACTTCTGGAATGGAGTAGTGTCCTGCACAGAAAAGAGCTCCCATCAAATTCTCCCTCGCGTCACTCCTGTGCTCAAAAATAGGCACCTGGGACCCCGTCAACACTATCGGCTTGCCTATACACAAATTAAATTGTCATTCAAATAACCCGAAAAAAAAACAGCGACAAATATTTAGCCCAACAGCAATTAAGTTAGAAGAAAATTTATTTTTTATTTGCGGCTCTCATTTCGTATTATCAGGTCGGCAATTTCAATATCATTTGGCTTTAAGAGAGGACTTAAGCTTAAGAAGGCCAGTAATTGTGTACACGTTATAGTTTCATTACTGACCGAGGTGGTCACACATCATGGACAGTGCAGACGCAGTGTAGGCCATAGTGTCTGTTCCATGGAGGATGATGAATCCATCGAACTTGTCGTAGTATTTCCTGATGTCTCTTGCCATCTGACACCAGTTGTCCTGCAAATCACAAAATGACAGAAAGGAAGCCGATTTAGGGGTGGCGATGTTCGGAGAAGGACGCCCCTTTACTCAGGGATTCGACCCATGATCACCCAAGGCGTCCCGAATTTACCTACTATTTCAATAACTTTTAGCGATTCTACCCTTAAACTTTCTTAAGGAACCTAAGCAGCTTTTTTTGCAAATGCCATTGAAAAACTGCAAAAAAAAACGGGTCAGAGCGAAAGCTAATAAACGCCAGTGAATGGAAGTGCAAGTGAATCGGTGTTTGCCGCTAAACCAGGCTGCTCAAACCCGTCAGAAAAAAAGTGATCTGGCTTGTTTGGCGACTCAATTACGCTTCGGCTATTCACTGTTTCTCAACTGCTACCTTTACAGGTTGGACCCCAGTGTCCCCAATGAAAGACCAAGTGCTTAAACACTCCATGCGACACCAACCACTTCTTTAAATGTCCCAAACCTTACTACACTCACTAATCTCACACTTTGGTTCAATTCAGACATCTCCTCTTCTTTTTAAGATTGGACCAGCGATCAATCACATCAGTTGAACTCGCTCCTGATGGCCGTTATCGACTCAACATTGGCTCATAACCTCGACTATGAGTTGTTTTCCCGTTCCTTGCGACCACTTATACGGAAGAAATTTTATTCAGACACCATAGCAACGCTATAAAAACAAATCCCCGTTTGACGGCGTAGTTACTGGAATCGAGGCCCCCTTCTAACCAGAATCACACCTGGGGGAAAAGCGCAAAGTCTGAAATGGACGAAACGACGCTACAAACAGCCTTGACGAAAACAAAGCGCTGCCCCTCGATACATCAACTACAGCTACAACAGTATGTTCTTTTTCCTGTGAATTACTGGCAGCGGTGGTCTAGAAATTGAGGGAGTGACCGTTCTTCTTTCAAAGACCACTTCATATTGCTAATAGGATCAAAAATTCACAAATTATCTACTTTGACTGACAAAATGGAACAATTTTCAAAAGAGTGCTTGTCGCGTCAAGACACAAAACTCTACTTGGCAAGCGCGCAAAAAACACGCATTTTTTTCTAAGCCCTTCAATAAAATTTTGACAAAAAATATTTTTGAAGGTTTCAGCAGTTATCGATAAATGAAAATGGCTAACTTAAAAAAAGTCAAATTAAGGTTTCGAAAACGCCCTCCTCCGAAAAACGCCAAGTCTGGAACAGATAACAGGTATGGTGTTGAAAGTCTATTGCTGTATACCTGTGTCATGTTGCTGCTGTCGAGGAGTGGCTGGTACTCCAGTATCTCGAACTCCACCCGAGTTCCCAGTTGGGATTCGGGCATCACGAACAGAGTGCCATTGCCCATACTAGCCGATCCAGTCACCTAGAGCAGAGCAGAAGTTTGAAATGTAGCATGCTCATGATAAGCACGTTCGATCTGAAAGTTGGGGTCGAAATATGATTGTTGGGTTCCTAAAATATTGATGGGTTCCCCTCAAGAAAAATTTAAAGCGCCTAGAAAACTTTCGGATATAACTGTTTTTTATGCGTTTGAGGTTTTCATAAAATGGTTGGACCCATCTTTCATACTTGCTTCTTCTGGCATGTTAAACGGTAATTTTGGCCTGTTTGTGAAATAAATTGCGTGAGGCGCAGGAGATTTGGTCAAAATAGGGTCTTTACAGAGATTTAGGAGAGCTCGAGAAATCATTTTGGTATCTTAAAAAAAGGTCGACAAACAATTTTTGAAAAAATTTTGGAAATCCATAATTTGAAAGAACGCAGTCGCTAAAAAACAATTTCAACCTCGTCTCAATTTTTGCCTATTCAAAATTCCGATTCAAGTTTATAACGATCAAAAAATAGTGATCAGCAAATAAGACGACAGCCATAAGGACGATAACCGTTTCTGATAAGTTTTCAAGATGACGCTACACGTAGGGTTGTGCAGTTACTAGTAAGTAAAATTCGTTTACTAGTGAGTTACTAGTAAGTTACCACTTTTTTACTAGTAAGTTACTTTTACTTACTAGAAAGTTTCAAAAACTCAGAATCTGCCTGAAACTACCAAAATTGAAGACTATTCATTTTACACAAACTCAAAATCCGCTAAATAATCATTATGATCAATATTAACAAGTGAAGCAGCGTTGCATTATATGAAAACAAGTTTATCTGCTCTTTCGACTGATAATTGAGCCTCATTTTTTTCAAAAATTTCATATTGGTTCAACTTACTAGTAATAAGCCTTATTTTGCTTACTAGTACGTTACTAGTACTTTTACTAGTAACTTACTTACTAGTAAGTAAGTCCGCACAACCCTAGCTACACGCCATTCTACACATTGTATTTCTGAGAAACTTAAACCGCTTAAATTCGAACTGCTCATTTTAACCGTAATAACGCTTATTTATCGTTTAATGTCTTATCGCCCTAATGCCTTCCCGCACCGAAGTTTCATGGGTAATAGTCGATTATAATGGATTTTCCTTGACTAAAATGTTGTCAATATAATCGATTATCATGTCAAATTTAGACCACGTAATCGATTTTTAATCGATTATAATCGATTATTTTGGAAAAATTTAAATCCATTATAATCGATTATAATCCATTTTTGTTTTCAATATAATGGATTATTCTTTGTACATAAAATCCATGAAAATTGATTAAATTTTGTAAATAATGACTCTAATTTCTGCAATTTTCTGCAAAACTCGAACGAACACGTTCATCCAGGGGCGACCAATATGTAGTAATTTTCCAAAAAGTGCCCAAAAACAGCATTTTTGACCAGCTCCTCGCGTCAACCCCCCGCCCCAACGTACAACCCACCCGCCTCAACGTACCCCCCCCCCGCCCCAACGTACCACCCCCCCCCCCCGCCAACGTACTCCCTCCCCCCCAACGTACGCCCCCCCCCCACCAACGTACCCCCAACCCACGACGTACCCCCTCACGTACCACCATCCCCCCAACGTACCCCCCCCCAACCCACGACGTACCCCTCTCACGTACCCCCATCCCCCACGTAACCCCCAACCACGACGAAAATTAACTCGATTGAAAATAGGAAAAAATGAAATTAAGCGAGAGAACAAAATAACTAACTTAATTTTAACAAAATTATGAAAAAATGAAAACAACACACAAAAAGATTTGAATAAATAGATTATAATCCATTATAATCGGTTAAAATGGATTATTTTTCTTTTGATAACTTTTTATTGAAAATAATCGATTATATTGGGATTTTATTGCTTAAAAAATATTATCATTATAATCCATTTTCAATCGATTATAATCGATTATTTTTGTTATTTTGTAGAGACTCACAATAAAAATCCAATATAATCGATTATTATCCATGAAACTTCAGTGCGGGTTGTTGTCTTAATGGCGTGTTGTCCTATTTACCTAGCACCAAAAATGTACCTGTGCTGTGAGCAATGGAGGACTGACGAGAGATCTCAGAGCTGCGAAGTTCTTGTCGTGTATCATCGGCAACTCACTGATCGTCTTGCCGAGGAAGTTCGGCTTCGGAACTAGACCCATCCCCCGACGCTCCTCGCACATTCCTATCGTGCCTCCAGTGTAAATAACCAGCACGCGATGGTGAACAGGGTCCCGAAACGAAGGACTCTGTAGTTCCTCGTCAATCTGGATGTCATAGAGCGGACGATGATGTTCCTCGAAACTCGGATCCTGGATGTCCCGTAGTTTCACATGCAGATGTTTCGTCGGCTCGCTGAAATGTTTGTGGATCTCGTCGAGAGGATATGGACGTTTTTTATTCTGGTTAGGAGACATGATTGCGTTTCGATTCATGTAAAAAGAGAACTTAACAACGAACAAATAATCAGTTCTTCAAAGGATTTTTAAAGAAAAAAAATGGGTAAAACAATTTTTTGCTGAACGTTTTTTGCTCTTATGGAGAGAATTGTGAATTTAGAAACTAATGAAACTATTTGGCAAATTCTTCATTTCGAAATGTAAAATTAAGATTTTTAAACCAGAATTGGGATATGAAAAACTTCGGTTTTAAAAAATTGAGAACGAAAACGAGTTCAATTTTTGTGAATAACTTCTGCTTGCGTGAACAAAATACGCCTGTTATGTAATTTTCTACAACTTGTTACATAATATTCACTCGGATTAAAAAACAATACAGTCGCACAGACGGTTGTAAGGTGGCCAGTCAAAAAGCAGAATGGTCTAAGAGCGTAATTGGTCCAAGAGAGCAGAAAAACAGAAAAATATTATCTTTTTTAAGCTAATCTGTAAATCAAGTAAAATAATAGTCAATAACCAAAAAAACTAATACTTTATGCACATTAAAAAAATCAATGAAAAAAAACTTGATGAAATTATTCAATTCATGGATACTTAATACTTTTTCTTGGTATGTATTGAGGATTCTGATAATTGTTTTATCAATTTGCCCGTATTAATCAGTAATATTTTTCTGTTTTTCTGCCCTTGGACCCATTCTGCTCTTAGACTGGTTACATGTCAGTATTTAGACAGCCGCGTATTCATACTGGTCAGTATTTAGACAAATACTGTTTCAACCAATCAGAATCGAGACAAAGAAGAAATTAATAAATAATTATTATTTATTTTGGATTATTTATGTTTTTTCTCGATTCTGATTGGTTCATACAGTATTTGTCTAAATACTGACCAGTATGAATACGCGGCTGTCTAAATACTGGCTGCACTCCTCTTAGACTATACTGCTTATTGCTCCACCTCCCAGTTGTAAGTAGTCTGATTGGCTGGATTGACAAAGAAAAAACCAAGAATACCAACGAACTGAATTCATTGTGAGCCGAAAGTTTTAGTCTGAGCTAAAATAGAATTTAATTTTGCTCATTCATAATTTTTAATGATCCTATAAAAATTATGATGACAAGTATTTTTCATTAATTTTAGTTTCACAAGAATAATTTTGGTTTTTCTTGTCTGGTTACAATTTTTGGTTCTGCTTTATTTGTCTTCGTCAAAATTACATCAAAAACACAAATGTTTTTGTCGCCAACGATACCATGTTTGAGAATTTAGAAGAACGGAAAATTTAGCAGGCTCAGCCAAAAGCAGACCCAAATTCTAGGGTCAGCCAGCCAAAAATCGGGTTTATCGGGTCGAATCCCTGAAGAAAGGCGTCTGCCCCAAACCTATCCCCAAAATCCGCAACTGGTGGTTATTTTTTAAAGAAAACTGAATGTTTTTATAAGACATCATTCTGCAGTTGAAGACTTCTGCTCAATGTATATCTCGGCAGACAAAATCACCAACTGATCTGTAACGTACGGCTGATGCAATAGAGCTTTTACTTACAAATCGAAACTGAATGAGAATGACCGACTGACTGAAAGAACGGTTTAACAACCGAGCGATCAACAAAATTCTGTTCTTAGCTACCAAATTTAACCAAAGCCACCTTGGTATTATCTTACGATAGCCATTCTGACTGGCCTACAAGAAGTACCAGCCCTCAATCAAGAGTTTCTCAAGTTGTCTTTGGTACCATTATACTTATTTTGACGTTTTTTTAAATCAAAAGCTCCCAAAAAGTTTACAACGGAGTTTTTTCCAAAAAATGCCAGCGGTGCAGAAAAACATGCCGGTACAAGTATGATAATTGGGTCCTTAAATTTTATATGGGTCCCTGAAGAAACATTTTGAGGCCTTAAAATCTTCGAAAAAACATGGTTCGTATTCGTTTCCTGGGACCCATTATAATAGTACCAGCATGTCAATTATGGTCATTCTGGAGAAGAGCTCGAACATTTCAAAATGGTTGATCAAAAAAACCCGCGCACATTAATAACAAGACTGCTCGTATCAGGGCGAAGCCCTGAATGTTCCGACTGCCTTTTAAGGTTTTATGGAGCAGTAATAACATCAAAAAAGTAAATGTAATAAATGAATATGAAAAACAAAATTTTCTAAAATTTGAAATTTTTTATGAAAATCATCCCCCCACACGCCATATAAAGTACAAAAAGATAGATTTAGCTCCTTTTAACAAATCAATTATGGCAAATAAGCTTCTTTCAACCAATTTGGAACGATTTTAAGACGGATTAAATCTCCGCTTACGCGTTAATAGCGCGAAATATATCGCGCGTTAATTGTCCCAAATTGGCCAAAATGGCTATCTTTAAACCCCCCTAACTTTACGAAAAATGATCACAGGTGAAATATCTTTTCAAATTTGAGCTCAGGACAACAATAGCTTTTGAATGATATAAAAAAATTCCGTCAAAAATGGCTAGTTAAAAAGTCGAAATTTGTCTGAAGAAAAAAAAAACCCACCCCGAGCACAAATATTCCGTTACTTTCGTATCGAAAGTCGGAACAATAATAACAAGACTGCTCGTATCAGGGCGAAGCCCTGAATGTTCCGACTGCTTTTGAAGTCTTATGGAGCAGCAGTAATAACATAAAAACATTATATGAAATAAAATAAAATGAAAAATTTTTTTTCTAAAATTTGAAATTTTTTATGAAAATCATCCCCCCACACGCCATATAAAGGTACAAAAAGATAGTTTTCGTTCCTTGTAACACATCAATTATGGCAAATAAGCTTCGTTCAACCAATTTGGAACGATTTATAAGACGGATTAAATCTCCGCTTACGCGTTAATAGCGCGAATTATATCGCGCGTTAATTGTCCCAAATTGTTCAAAATGGCAATCTTTAAACCCTCATAACTTTACGAAAAATGATCACAGGTGAAATATCTTTTCAAATTTAAGCTCAGGACAACAATACCTTTTGAATGATATAAAAAAATTCCGTCAAAAATGGCTAGTTAAAAAGTCGAAATTTGTCTGAAGAAAAAAAAAACCCACCCCGAGCACAAATATTCCGTTACTTTCGTATCGAAAGTCGGAACAATAATTCTTGCAGAAACACTTTGTTTCTGCAAAATTTAGTCTAAAAAGGACCATTTACTTTTACGTCTCATAAATTTTATATGTATGTTTTTTGAAGTGCACAATTGCGTATAGTTTTGGTAAGTTTATACTTTCGCTCTGAATTTGGCTCAAGCCATTTCAGTTCAAGGGTATGATCCGTGTTATGGTCCCGAATTTTCCGAGCTTTTGAACCATTACTTATAATGGATCTACTTAACAAATATCCCCCTTTCAAGAAAGGGGTGATTGTCAAGTAGATTAAGTTAGTCGAATTTTCGAAAAATCAGAATAGAGCAAAGTTCGAATTTTATTAGAACGCTCTAGTGCTAATTTAAAATTTACTTCTTTCATTTTCAGGGGTGCCAATTTTTGGTAGATACCATAGAAGTGGTGATATTGTGAAGTACAACCCTTACAATTACCGAAATTTATTCGTAATGGTTTTCTACAAAAGCAATGAAAATGCAAAAGCTATGAACGCAACCCCTGAAAATGTTAAGTAAAATAAATCCGGGAAACTTACCTGGCAGTTCTTGCGAAGAACGCCGCCCTGGCAGATTTTCCTCGAGGCATCCGCTGCCCGAGCGACAGTAACACAAAAAAGCTCCGCAAACAAAATTTGGCTACACTGTTTCAGTGTAATTATCTTGATAATTGTTTTGGCTTCAGTAAGAATTTTTTAATGACCGCTAGTTTTCAAAAATTAAGTTTATATCAAGTCTAAATGCGAAAAAAAACGTAGGTTTGAAATGCGATCCACAGTTTTAGTAATGAATGAGCAAGATGCTATAAATAGTTAATGAAATATTGATCTTTGACTTTGGCAGCATAAAAATGACACTTTAACCGTACGGGAAGAATTTCTAATTCAAGTCTGTCGGTTGACAAAAAGGTGTATCATAAACAAATCGGAGAATGCCTCAAGTGCCAAAGAGCTTTTGTAAAAAAAACCGTGCATTTTCTATGCGGGTTTGTAAAAACTGGAAAATGAAAAGAACTGGAGGGAAATACCTACCATCGCCGAAGGACCAAAAAATCGAAAGTTATACTAGCCGGGTCGTTTCGATTATACCCCCTTAAATGATGGAAAAAAAATGAAAAATGTTCTTTCAAAGCTTGACTGATTTTCCTTAAAAATGTCGAGCTGATATCCCGAGTGTTAAATCAAGCTAGAAACTGGCAAAAAATGCGCATTAAGGACAATTAAAAGCGCATTTTATTGAAATTTATGCTCGGAAAAATGGCGAAAATTGGAGAAAAAAGTCAGTTTGAGACTCAAATAAGAAAAAAATGGTTCGTTTTTAGCAGTCCCATTATATTATAGTGCATTTCCTAGTAACAGTGTCCCAATTGTATAATACAAATTTTCATTTCATTTTTTCATAATTTAAGGGGATTATAACCGAAAAGACCCTACTAGCCTATTACAGTTCAGGTTTGAAAATTCGAAAAAGAAATAACCTTAAAAATCAGAGCGCGTTGGACACTTGATTTGACGTTGAATGTTTTAAAATGTTCGGCCGTTTAATAGTTCGGCCAAGGGAATTATAATGCAAAAAAATGGAAAGGAAACGGCAGACAGTATTGGAGCACGCATGTAACTGAATTAGATTCCCTGAAAGAGTCGATCGGTTAAGCTGCATTAAATTTGTTCACGCCAAGTTGGTAAAAGGGGTGACCGGCAAATGAGACGACAGCCGTTAAGACGACAACCGTTTTTGATGGGACTTTAAGACGACGCTACACGCAATTCTCCACATTGTATTTCTGAGAAATTTAAACAGCTTAAATTCGAACTGCCCGCCCATTTCACATGTAATAACTTTTAACGTCTTGTCGTCCTAAAGGTCGGTCGTCCTATTTACCTAGCATCGGTAAAAAAAAAAGAAAGGAAACACTTACAAATGCACATGCACTCAATTCGCCATGCTTTTTCAATACTTCTTCAAAATCAGCTAAGCGTTGGGGGGATGGGACTAAAAATTGCTTCTATTTCTAAAAAAGAATTGTCAAAATCGTGGTGTTTTTTTTTGTATAAAATTCCTTGTAAAAATAAAGTTCGCGTGATGAAAGAAACAAAGGAAAAAACAAAAAAAGAAAAAGAAAGACAAAAAAAAAGAAAGAAAAAAACGAAGGATAGACGGTTGCTGCGGAAGTAAAATAGCACAGAATATTCCGACCACATTCCGAACCGATTTTTTTTTCTGAAAATTATTGTCGTTTTTTGTGCGTGATGTGTTGAGAGAAGTATAAATACGCGTAGAAAGTTAATGAATTAGGAATAATCGACAACAGTTATTCATAAAAAAAAAGAATAACAAACAAGAAAATGAAGAAAAAATCAAATTATTTTATACAATGCTGATTTAAATGAACGGGACCAAAAGAATAAAACTTGAAAATTGAAACGTTTTTCTCAAATTGAGTTGACTTTAGACAAAAAATGATGAAGTCAAAGTTGCTTAAAATTATTTTTGTGCAATTTAATTGGGGAAATTTGCGATAATTTTTTTTCCAATTTTATTTGCGAAACTAAATTGTAATTTAATTTGTGCAATTTAAATTGCAAAATTCCTTCTGTCCGGATAATTTAAATCAGCGTTGTATAATTGCACATTAATTTGCACTATATTAAATAATTTGCACAGTGGTTTTTTTTTCTCCAGACATTTTTTGACTAGCCATTTTCGTCGAATTTTTTTTACGTCCCAAGTTTAATTGAGGCACGCTAGTTGGTTTAAAACTGCTATATGATAAAAAAAAAACTTTTTTGTCTTTTACATAGTTCTTACTTGCTCTTTTTTGAAATTTTTATAAATTTCCTTCAGGCGAACAAAACTCCTTAGAGCTCAAAAGGCAGTCTGAACATTTAACGCTTTGCCCGGATAGGAGCAGTCTTGCTCAAGCTTTCAAAACTAGTTATGCTTTTAGTAACGAGTTTTGCTTTTAGGTTATATATAAAAATAACTTAAAGGCTATTTTATATATCACAACCGTTGCTGATTGCTTCACTAGCTCAATATTAGCTGTTGGTTGCTCGAACATACAAAACCGCTCAAAAGTTTCAAACTCGTTTTTTTTTCAAAATTGGGATAATTTTTTGAAAATTGTTAATGGCGTTCGAATCACGATTGAAAGGGATTTTTTATGATATATTACTCGACCCATTCTGACGATTTTTTCTTTCACCTGATTTTGCGTTAAAAACAAAAAGAAGAAAAAGACACTAAAACACACCCGAATACAAATTTCAATGATCGGAACAATTATATCAGCATCAGGTTCTGCGACTCGGAGAGAACAGACTATGGGATATTGTGATCCATCAAGTATCTGCATCTATATGAAGAACGAATTAGGTTTTAATTGAAGAAAGTAAAAAAAAAACGTTTTTGTTCAGAACGAATTCCCTACGAGTCCTGCGACCTTAACTTCCAAAAAATGAGAACAGCGCCGAAGAAACTCTATGTCTTCTCAGCTAACTCAAAATTTGGCTTCGAAAAAAACGAAATTTTTTTAAAACTTCAACTCTTCAGGCAAATTGACATCAGAATTTAAATGTGAGAAGATTAACATTTTGAGTTGTTCTTGTGAAACATCTGGATCAGATAAACAGTGCTGATTTAAATTAATCGGACACAACGAATGAAATTGAAAAACTCAAATTGGGTTATTTTAAACAAAAAATGGTAGAAATTAACTGGTTAAATCTTCACTAGAACTAATATGGTGCATTTTCATTTCAAAACTCTTAAACAAAATTTTACCACGAAACTGGGTCACTTTGATTTTTTAAAATTGATCATAAATTAGGCTGAAACAATTAAGTTAGTTGATGAGAAAGTGACATCAAAAGAAGCCTCTTACACCGCCTATCAGTGTTCTAAGAATATAAACTTTTGAAAAATCTGTATAAGAAAATATGTTTTCGGTTGATAGCCGAAAAGGTCATTTTTACTATATAAAAATCAAAAACTTCGCTTGAAAAAAATTTCAAACGTAATAAGCAAGTGTCCAGAAGTTTTACCCTTCTATAACTTTTTTGGACTGTGTGAGAGGCTTTTTTCATATGAATGTCTCAGCAATTAACTTGGTAGTTTCAGCTGAAATCTTGGCTAGCTAAAAAAGCCAAAATGTCCATTTTTTGGGGGTAAAATTTTGGTTGAGAATTACGAAAAAAAATTGCACCATGTTAATTTTGGTGAAAATCTAAGCAATTTTTGTTCTATCATTTTTTGTCTAATATAAACACAATCTCAGATAAACACGTTTGACATTTCAAGTTTTGTTCATTTTTCCCGGACAAATTAAATCAGCACTGTAGTTTTTTTTATTTAATCAAGTGAGAAAACCAAATTGCATAGCCGTATTTCTCCATTGGGCTCATCTACCGTAGATTTTAAATTTTTAAAAAATATATCTGACCAGGTCAAAAATTTGAGTTAAACAGGTTTTGAGGTGTGTTACAAAAGAAATTTGAGTTTCTACAGTCCGTAAACCCAAAATTTTCTTCTATTACGCACTTTGTGTCCTCTCTATGGAAAATCTTGTTGAAAAAAATGTCGATAATAAATTAGCACTAGATCTAGAGATTTTCTGGTAAATTTGAAAAACAAATCTTTCATTCAGAAAACTCAGTCTCAATCTAATTGTGTTTTTTTTCTGGGAGTGTTGTTTTTTGGAGATCAGATGAAATTCTGTGGTAAAAAATCAATTTTTAAGGAAATAGTTTTTTACCATCTTGAAGCTACTGAATCACTGTGTTCGAACGTAAAAACTTATTTTTGCTTGAAGTTGTTCTTTCTTGTTGCTTAAAACTATTCAATAACAGTGAAGCAGCAGTCAGGTTGTTGAAACCTTTTAAGCTGCATTGTAAAAGAAAGATCACTTCGAAAAAATTCTTCGATTGTTTGAAAATGGATTTGACCTAAAAATATTCCTTATACTATTCAAATTATTATGACTTAGTAAAATTTTGCGGCTTGTGTTGACAGGAGAAAACAATCAACATTCAACATAAACAGTTTAGCAAAAAAAAATGTTTCATAAACTATTGGAAACCAGTTACACATCAGACAGATTGTTCAGGGCTTCAAACAGCCCTGCAACGGAAAAGTCACTTCAGAAAAACTCTTTGATTGTGTTCGAAATTAGATTTGACCTCCTAATGTTCCTTATACTTTTCAAATTATTAGGACTTACTAAAAATTTGCTGCTTCTGTTGACAGGAAAAAACAACCAACGTTCAACATTAACAGTTTATTTAAAAAATTGTTGCCTAAAACTATCCGAAACTAGTTACACAGCAAACAGCTTGTTCAGGGCTCTCAAACAGCACTGCGACGGAAAAGCCACTTCGGCACAATTCTTCAATTGTGCTTGACTATGGACTGTTTCTGACCGCTTAAAACTATTTTTAAAATTACTGTTTGAGCGATAATACTTTTTGCGAGAGGTGTATTTTTTATTTAAAACATGTTTAGAGTAAGACGTGTTTGAGAACTAAGAAATAGTTTAAATGGAATCAGTTAGTTGGTTAACTTGTTTTGGGGCCCGCGGACCCAACCGATCCTCGTTTTTTTAGAATAAAAAACGAAAACTTACTATGATCCGTTTGTTTTTTTTAAGTGTCAAACATAAAACACCAGATAGTTTATGGTAGTAAAACTGCTTCTTCCTAAACAATACGAAATACGACAATAAGCAATCAGGAGCTTGGTTATATATAGCCTATTAAACTTCAGTTCCAGCTGTCGCTCGTTTGGCGTTGGCTTTTGCCAAGCCTTCCCTTTTTGGTGGCTTATGGTTGAGCTGGGATCGTTTGTAGACCATCTTGTGGCAATCTTGTGTATGATCAAAATACACGCTATTCTAGTTAACTGCGTTTTAAATTACATATACATTGGAGTGTCTTACTTTTTTTTCACATATGTTTCGCCATTTTCGAAGCTGAAAATACGAAAAAAAAATATATTTTTGTCAATGTTTTTTTTTCGCGTACGACTTTTTTAAATTTAACTGACTCGACTGTATGTTTTGACTTGGTGTGTGACTTTCTGTCTCCATTCGGAGTTAGACTAAAAGACCCTCTCGGCCGACGATTTTCAGTTAAGCACTGACTTGCGCTAACCCGCCTCGGTCGAAGCACAAATTACAAAACTGGACCCGTGCAGTCTCTTGTAATAGTTATGGGCTTATTCATCCGTTTCAGTTTCGAATACAAGACCAATATGCGGGGAAAAAGTTATGATCCTTGATCGGCGACCACCAAACAAATTCAAAACAAGGGAGTTATTTTTTTGACCAGTTATAGTTATCTCATTGAAAACCTGTAG